GGTACCATGTTTAAAATCTAGAAAAAAAACTCTTTCAACTCTTTTGAAAACTGATAAATTCCTTGAGTAATGATGATCATCGGAATACAATATGGTTATACGATATATTTACGAAATTGAAATTCAGTGATTTTCATTAGGAGAAATAAACGTTGTCTGTAATAATATTTATATTAAATAAGAGTAAAAATAGTTTGTAATAATAAATGATAGCACTGAAGTAGTTTTTTTTTTTAATATTGGAAGACTGCCAGTCCCACAGGTTTCACTCTCCTATAATTCCTATTTTAACTTCTTTGAACTACAGTGGACATTTAATATTTATAAACTCCAAACGGACCTGCCTAATATGGGGTGGTCCTCGCTGTGCGCGATATCAGTTATACGCTGTCAACTCTAGAAACAAACAATTCGTAAGATGTATTTAAAAATGGTCCCAAAGCGAAAGAGGCTTACGGTCATATCACGTGGAAACACTGTTTCCTGTACGATCACCAAAGTTAAGCAACGTTGACCAGATTCTTCACTTCTAGTTATTACATTTGTTTTTTTAAATAGGGCACCTCAGCGTGGCATAATGGTTAGCAAGTTTGTCTCGCTAGAACAATTACGACTGAGTAGTGAATCCGATCCTCACTGGGTGTTCCATACTTCCGGCCTTGTGCCACATCTAAGAAGCGTTTAGAAAATCACAGGGCACCTCGACGTGGTGTAATGGTTAGAAAGCTTGTCTTGCTAGATCAATTATGACTGAGTAGTGAGCTCGATCCTCACTGGGTGCCCCATGCTTTAGGCTTTGTGCCACATCTTAGTTGGGCTTAGAAAATCATTAGGGCACCTCGACGTGGTGTAATGGTTAATAAGCTTGTCTCGCTAGAGCAATTACTACTGAAAAGTGAGTTCGATCCTCACTGGATGCCCCATGCTTTCGGCCTTGTGCCACATCTAAGCTACGCTTGGAAAATCTAGGGGCACCTCGACGTGGTGCAATGGTTAGAAACCTTGTCTTGCTAGATCAATTACGACTGAGTAGTGAGTTCGATCCTCACTGGGTGCCCCATAGTTTCGGCCTTATGCCACATCTAAGCCGGGCTTAGAAAATCACCATTACATTTTAAATAGTTATCATCATTTTGATACATATTCTGTTTTTTTTTTCTTTCTCATTTATTTTGAAATAATCAGATTTAGCTGGAGGTATAGGGGAAGAATGTGTAGCGATAGATGTCAATGTAATGTGAAAGGTAAGGTCGTCAATTAACAAACACTTAAAAATACAAAACGACTTCAGCGTGTTCCTTCTTCTAGACTGCTCACCAACCACGGCTAGAGGGTCCCATTCTGTCCTGCTATTTTACGCATAACGGGCAAGATGCATTCAAGTCATATTCACACGTGTATTTCTATGAGAGTGAATGTCATGCACGCGACTGGAATGCGAGCTGCTAACTATTACACTAACATCACATCCATTAATAGTATTAATGGCTATCACATGCCTTGATTTTTACTCATTACTTGATGCATTATTTGTTGGCCGCCTTCAGAGATCCAACGCTATCAGATCCATACAATAATCCAGTACTCTCCTCCAGCAGCCGACCTACATTTTTGTGGGCGTCAAGCTTGGAAAGATATGGGGATCCCCTCGCAACATGCAACAATAGACTCAAGGTTCTAGCTGTGAAAATGTAGGCTATGTCTAAATTCTGGCGAGCTGAATGAGCCTATATAGCTGCGGGTTTTGGCGCTGCAAGCCTCCAAGTATTTGTATAAAATTTGACCAATTACAGAGGACTTTTGAGGCAATATGAACTGTGTGTTAGAGCATATTCTAAGGCCAACATTATCTATTTCAACCCATTGGTTGATGAGTCTATCACAAGAATGAATCTTATTCTAATAACAAATACTTTAAGAAATCATCGATTTTGATGAAAGATTCAATCATTAGAAAAAAAGGTTGCTTCAAGAGCATCTCTGGGATTAAGAGCCCTGAAGCTTATGCGTCATTAGTTTCATAGTAGATCTGCTACTGCTCTCTTCAGGAATCGATTATTTTTGCCAAAGTTTTACCGATCTACATCCTTATTTTATTTACTGATCGAACTCACAAGTTTGAAGAATGGGAAATCTGCGTGCGTGAGTGAGTGAGTGAGTGTGTGTATGTGTTTTTTTCCTTTTAACCTCTACGTTAATAATGATTTTTATTTTTTTATTTTATTTTCCTTACACTTTGTTGTCTGTTTTAACGACTAAAGTATTATTCTCTTAATCCTGACTCCAGTAGCTTCAGGGGCGGGGAATTCTCTCATCATTATGTGAAGACATGCCTGTTAAATAGATCAAAACTCTCCGCAGTATTCTTGCCAGGTTTAAGCAAGGCTCAGCTCCATGTTGTTTCGGAATCAACACCTAAATTTATGCAAAAAACACAAATGAAAATCTTTGTTAAAAATGAATCTCGACTGTTACAAGCAAGTTCACAACTTTTATCTTGTAGCAAAATGTATTTTTAAAAACAAAAAGCACTGTTCGCTACGAAAATGTAAGCTTTATAAATGTTGTAAAATATACCGACACATACGGTAAACACGACGAACAAGGGCTATAAAAAGAAAACTAAAACAACATGGAAGCAATAGCGATGCAGAAAAGAAAGACGACGTTATTATGTTGCTTGACTGCTAATTCCGAAGAAATTTTTAAAAAGGAAGTTGTTGTTGACAGCGGAAGTGTCTGCAGCTTTGCTTCAGAATGTAACGGTTGCGCCAGTGATACATATTATATATATATATATATATATATATATATATATATATATATATATATATATATATATATATATATATATATATACTCTTTTACATTCCATGTAGCACAGTGACAAATTGAATTTCAAAGACTCCAAAATAATTGTGGTCTGAAGTGGGTCTTCTCGTTGCCTGTTTTACCCCTTCATGTCCTCGGCTAACTTCGACTGAATAAATACAGACTACTTCTGCTATATCAGTAACTGCATTAATTCCATTTTTTTAATGAAAGTCCTTTAAATTAATTGAAGAAGATAGACTCTGTTACATCTAAACATGATGATGTTGTTTCCATTCTAATTGAACGATTTTTCTGATCGATCATCTGGTTATGGCTGATAGTATTCTATAAAGTCCAAAATCTCACTTGCTTTGATATTTTCTAGCAGTGCCTTTTGTTTATCTGTTCTTTTTTTTTAATCTTTTCATCATCCAAGCAAGGCAATAAAGCCACTAAGTTGCAAAGGTGGCTTACTGTGTATTAAAGAATGTGAGAAAAACACTATTAAAGGGCGAACAGGAATTAAGAATTTAATTTGCATTTAATAAAGATTACAGATGACTGGAAAACCAGAAGAGATTTCCAGAAGCGAGAAGTGCAAAAGAAGAAACAGCATAGAACTTACGATTCCATCTTGACATTTCAACTGTAAAAGGATGAGACGATGAGGCCAGTCTAGTACTGCGCTCAAATTCATAGAGTCTAGGTGCCATAGAGGAAAGAAAATTTATTTTGATAATACAAAAATGTGGCACAAGGCCAAAAGGATGGATAGGGGAAGGCTGATCTTCAGTTTGTCATATCGTAAAATTAGCTAGCCACAATTACTGACCGAAACATCCCACAATATCGTTTACATCAACATGCTTACCATACTTACTACAGCCGCCATAATACCCCAAGTCTCTATGATTTCCTAACTAGTTCCGATATGTACAATGTACCATAGAGGAAAATTCATCAGAACAATTACAATGAAAGTATTTATAGAAAAGGCACAGGCAACCTATGTTACATCAGTAGGAAAATGACTGAAGCCGAGATACCAGGTCAGGATCAATAGCATTACAGATTCTTTGGATTTTATCAAGAATCTCTAAATATATATCAGAACCAGATGTGACAGAATATTGAAAGCATAGATGAATGATAGACTTATAAATATTTAATGACCACATCGCGCATTCAAGTACGACTTGACTATAGTACCTGAATGCAATGAATAACGATTCGAATTAAAAATTGAAGAGCCGAGTTCGAATTCTAGTCTTTTCATTCACTTACGATCAAATATAAAGGTAAGACTTCACCTGTTCCCCCTCTAGAAATGGGTTCTATTTCAAGCCTCCTATAGCCTTGGTTGGCAACCAGTCTAGCGCATAAAGAAACGGCAGCCTGCTGCGGCATAATCTTCTGCCTAGTCAGCGATGAATCGAAAAAAAAAACATGATCGCTCAAGCGTGTATCACACTAGGTATCCCAGCACTCAGCTTACAGCCGATGCAATTATTAACTAAACACTAAAAAAAGGCATATATTCAACTTGCCGTGTTATTTCATTCAATATCTCCATAAAAACATAATGGATGCCAAATAAAAGCTTATTTCATGAACTTTGTTTCTATCTTATTTATTTTTATATGTACTACAGTGTGCGAGGAATGTTGCAGTTTGAAAATAGAGACGTTTCGCAAAATTTTGGCCATTTTTTTCACTGACGGCAGTTTAGACTTCCTCAAATTTTGTAACATGCGCACTCCGCAAGGTTGATTACAATTTTGGTAACATGTTAGTTTGAAAGTTAATATTCTAAGCTTCATTTTTATATATTTTATATTTTTTTAATTTTAATAAGAAGTTTGTAAACAATTCAAATGAAGAGTTTGATCGTAAAATTCAAATGCTTCTTGTAAAAATAAAAACACATAAAATATATCATTAAAACGCGCATTTAATAAAGTATGAAAAGAAAAATCAAAACCAAATATGAAACGATATCTCCATTTTGCGCGTGTACGATTATGTGTAACCATGCGCGACTCGCTCGGCCATCATTTCAACTCAACGCGACAGTCAATACATAGCGTCAACACGGACTCCCAAGAATCGACCAGCATGTTTTCTATGGACGAAATTTTCAAAAAGTAGACATTCCGTTAGGGACTAAGTGATACCCCCGCTCGCCAATGGGCATTGACTGTGTCTCAAACCGGATGTTAAAAAAAGGTAAATATCGTTCTTGTAAGAGCTTGTATTCGTTATCAAATAAAGGAAGTTGGCGAAATAGGCTCGCTAATAAATATCCAAATTAGACACATCTCTCTCTCTCTCTCTCTCTCTCTCTCTCTCTCTCACTCGATCTCTTACTCTCTCTATTTCTCTCTCTCAGTCGCTCTTTTACTCTCACTATTTCTCTCTCTCACTAGCTCCCTTACTCTCTCTATTTCTCTCACTCTCTCTCTTACTCTCTCTATTTCTCTCTCTTACTCTCTCTATTTCTCTCTCTCACTCGCTCTCTTACTCTTTCAATTTCTCTCTCTTATTCGCTCTCTTACTCTCTATTTCTATCGCTCTCACTCGCTCTCTTACTCTCTCTATTTCTCTCACTCACTCGCTCTCTTACTCTCTCTGTTTCTCTCTCTCACTTGCTCTCTTACTCTATTTCTCTCTCCCTCACTCGTTCTCTTACTCTCTCTATTTCTCTCTCACACACGCTCTCTTACTCTCTCTATTTCTCTCTCTCTCACTCGCTCTCTTACTCTATTTCTCTCTCCCTCACTCGTTCTTTTACTCTCACTATTTCTCTCTCTCACTCGCTCTCTCTCTCTCTCTCTATTTCTCTCTCCCTCTCTATTTCTTTCGCTCTCTCTCTCTGATTTCTTGTCTGAAAGAAATCTATTTACGACACCTAACTATTTATTCTTAGAATGTACCCGTCTACCGAATAAGTTGCATTTGAGTAAAAAAAGAAAAGACAAATAAAGAATAAAAAAAGTTGAAGATTAACACGATTGCGGTGAAATGTCCGCACAATCAGATCGGAAAATAGCGAACTCAAACGGGAAAAAAATTCGCGCGGTAAAAAATAAAAATAATGACACAAAAACTTGAAAAGAAAAAAACATAAAAAAAGAAAATTTCATATAAAAAATTACAGTAAATATTAACAACTGCAAAATTGCATATTACAAATTTTTTCTAGAAACTCCATCGTCACTTACATATGGCATCTTTGCTATTCGCAACATTTTTTATGAAAGCAGACGTAATTAGTAGGAAATGCATTTCGAGTCTTATATGTTTATTTTATCATTGGTCCAGTATCGTCGATTTCTTTCCATATCATTTATCATTCAAACATTTTTAACAACATTTGCCAATAATTTTATTCTTTTATCTTTTTCTTATTTATTGACGAAAACGTATTTTCAGATTTCTAGGGAAAGCGTTTCGAGTTATAACATTATTTTTTATTTGTTTTTATTTTATTTTATTTTTTGCTGTTGGTTTATTAGTAGTGTACTAGCAAATTCTGATAGAGAAAAATTACCACCAACAAGAACTTGTACAGCAGATGTCAAGAATCTCAATTGTCTTTGTTCATTTTGAAAGCAAGTTGGAAACTTCTTATATATATAAACATATTTTGCGAATGGATCCAGAATGCTCAGCTAACAAAGCCATGGAGTTTTACTTTGAAAAGACTGACTTCAAAATTTCAGAGATCATCCAAGAACAACCATAGTCACAAAGGTTGAACCGACACATTGAAAGGACAAGGGAGAAATATCCCACTTTTTCTTTGGAGGGGTTTACAATCAAGGAAGATCTGCAACGAATCTGCAAACTCCTAAAGGACAGAGAAGGCTGGTAAAATATTGTCGAATCAGTATAAAATGTCACTGAAGATGAGAGAACGTGTTAATTCATAACCTCAAATCGAAACAGTCATGAGTTAATTTCTTCCATTATTATTTATCTCTCAAATAATTATTTTAACAACATTAATAAAAATACTTTCTTATATATGTAATGATAAATATATACTTTTTATTCTTTTCTTATTTATTGATTCGTTTCACTTATTGCAATTAAAGTAACAAATCAAAGTGGGACATTTAATAAAGTGTTCACTCCGATATCGAGTATAAAATATATATGGCTGTACCTTGTCATGGTAGAGAGCTTGTGTGATCCAGTAATCCCAAGAGCAAAGCTGTGTGGACTTCCAACTCCTGTAGGGCCACTATGCGCCGAAAGTCCCAACAACGGAATAGGCAAAGATCTGCACATTCTCAACAGTCAAATCGGCGGAAGAGGGTAGCGCCAGTCTGGCTAGGGTAAACAAGTCAGGCCTTGACAGACCAAGCGTTCGACAGCCCAATGTAACCAGATTTAACAGATCTCGCCTGACTCAATCCCCTTTGAGCCGAGATAGAATCCCTTCTGGCAAAGTCTGTGAGCTTCACCCCCGTGCAGAACTGTCCACCAAAATGAAGTTCACTCGAATGGCCTCGTAAAAATCTTTTTGATTCACAATCATCTACGACCCCCATTAACCAGGGGCGGGATGAATCTCACAATGTTTGGATGCAAGCAGGTGCCAAAAACGCTTCTCAGCATCCTTCTGTATAACAATATCTGTCACTTCATCTTTGATGATATTACCCAGCATTTACTCCTACAACTTATTCCATGTTCTGTGTCCCTTCAGGGCGTTAGTGAAAATGGCTCTCCACATTTCTCTGACCTTTGTACCTCTTAATAAATTTTATCTTTTTATTTTTATCTCCCCTAAACCTTGTTCTGCCATTTACTGAACCACGTTAGATAGGTTACGCGTTATTTGCCTCTGTCCCTCTTGCCTTCAATATGTCCCGTGAGTATCACATTTTCCAAGCCCTTTTTCCTCATTATATGCTCTGTAACTATTAACTATCTTGCCCTAAATTTTAATATAAGAGTCCTTTTTGTTTCCATTTTCTCTAAAACTTTCTCGTTGCATACATGTTAGGTCCCTGGTATTCTCAGCATCCTTAGAGGCAGATATGCAATATAATTTCCCCTTCTCTGGCATCTCGTCTACAGTCACTTTCTCACAGACGCGCCGTCGCCTCCCTCTATCTGTTTTACAAATACTTTTATGGCAATTGCTCCGAGGAGCTGCATTCGCTGGTTCCCAGACTTCATGAATTCAAGCGCCCTACGAGGCTGGCATCCCGCTCTCACACTTTCACTGTCGAAACTCCTAAATGTAGCCGTCTCTTCTACTCCAATAGCTTCATGTCTCGCATCTCTCGTCTGTGGAACTCCCTTCCCTATTCCAGTTTCCCTGAGAGCTATAATCTCCAGCTATTCAAATGTAATGTCAATCCACTACCCTTCTCCTCATCCTATCTTCTATCACTCCTATCTGATCTTGCTCCAAATTTTCTGTAACTAGTGGCTTCCCGCCTTGCTTAGGGTGAAACGCTTAAAAAAAAAAAAAACTACAATTATGTTGCTTCAAGTCCCTTGGCCATTTGGGAAGAGAGTATACTACATTCACTTCATATAGGAGTAGTGATATCCTATAACGGCACAGCGCTCTTGTCTGTTTCTAACGAGAAAGACTGTTCTCAAGGACACATGGTACAGTGGATACAGGCGTTGGTTAGATCCAGTGACAGGACCCAAAGAGTGTGAGTTCAATACCCGGTTAAGGCAGTGGAGAACTTTCAGAGGGAAATTAACAGGAGATAACTGATAACTGACATCCATTAAACATGACACGTGGAACTAGAACAGTCTACCCCAGTGAGCAAAATAAAGGGTTCAGTTCGACATTCCAACCACCTGAAGAAGGCCGGAGCGTACGACGGCTGAAACGTTGTAATAAATATGGCGACAAAGATGAGGACAATAGTCCGAATAATGTAAATAATATACATAATACCTCATCTCAGAAATATAGACAGACTCTCAAGTTTTCCTAGTAGTTGAAATAGGATATTGTGTTGTATCTTATCAAATGCTTTTTCTTAGTATATTAAAAATGGATATAGTTCTTTTCTTCATCTGTATTGCTCGCTCTAAAAGCATTCGCATCATAAAGACTGAATTTCTTTCCCTGTTTCCGATTTTGCATCTCTGTTCATCACATGCGAATGATGAGCTTCGTTACTTTGTGGATTGTCCCATGGAGCTCGCATTTATTTGCTCTATAATTCTTTTTGTACTGATGTCTCTGATCCGTAGCTCGTATCTTAGGCATCATAACGACTATACTTACTATCTTCTCGATATTTTTTACTGCCTTTTCTGGGATTTCACCTAGTTTTCTTTCTGCGTCTACGATCAACACGTTGCCATCCGAATGACTTGTGTTATTACCAGTTAAACTAGTTATTTAACAAAAAGAATTGGTACCAAACTCAACTGTCCTTATAATGTCTGACCGTTTTCTATGTTCTCTGTAGAGACGGGGATACCTTTCGAACCAATATTTACCTTTTAAGTCAAGTAGAAACCGTCACGGTGGAGTAATGGATAAGCGGCTCGGATTGAGGAATCGGAGAGCCGAGTTCGAATTCCAGTCAAATCCATTATATTCACTTATGTAGTAATACCCTTGAGAAAGGTATGGATCCCCTTCTTCTAAAAGCTATAGGTAAATAGCAGGGCAGAGCGGGATCTATAGCCCTGGACAGTAACTGGTCTACCGCAGAAAGAAATGGCAACCTACAGCGGGAAATAAATCTGCCTCGTCAGTCCTGAATCGAAAGATACATGATCGCCTAAGTGTATATCACGCATGGTACATAATTAACTGACTGATAAACCGTCCAATGTTTATTTTTCACTCTAATGTAATCAATGTCACACCCTCCAGCGACTTTAATATTTCATTTTTCAAGGACGATGAAAGACACCAATTTTTGACTCAAGTATAAATAAAACCAGTGTTAATCATATATCTCAAGTATAAACCGGACTAATATTTAACTTTTGACTCAAGTATAACCTTGACCAATGGTTGGCTTTTGGCTAAATTAGAAACCGGGCCAAGTACACACAGGAGACCAAAAGGATTTGGAAAAATCGCCTAAAAATTGAAATTTGCATAACTTTTTCCAAAATAATTTGTTAGCTCACTTTGCGCCTGATAGGCATTCACTTCCTGAAAGGTGCTTATCATATATTCAATAATAATAATAATAATAATAATAATAATAATAATAATAATAAATGTGGCACAAGGGAACATCAACAATCCCCGTTGTAGTTGGGGCCATCGGATTGGTTGGAAAAGATTCCAGTAGACTATTTGAAGGGATCCCTGGAAGCCCATGCCTTAAAGAAATACAAAAAATTGTTCTTATGAGTACAGCCCACACCTTACGAAGGGCTTTATCTATGTATTTTTTTTTTTTTTCAGTGGAAAATGTCATGATGCCATTTCTAACCTTAGGTCCATGGGCGGGAAATGGAAAGAAATGAGTACAAATCAGAAATAAAAGGAAATAAAATAAAGATAATAATAACAACTAAATTAACCCCTTATTGTGTTTCCTAATTACACCCATTACTAACGGTTCCTTAAAAGTGTAACCGTTTTTGATTGATCTACATTGCTGGTTAATATAACTCTTAGAATTGATGGTTTTTAAATTTTGGGAAATCCTCCGTTTGGGCAATTGTACGACATGCACCTGTGGGTATAAAAAGTGACAGCATCCTAGATTCTTAAGAGTGAGTTAATGAAACAAAAGAATGCAAGAAACTTTCTAATTAATGAATACAGAGAGGGGGGCCTAAACTTTTGATCTGTCGTGTAAATTGGATCAATGTTTACATTTTGATTCAATTATTTATCAGAAAATCTTCATTAGATTCAAATATTAACAGGATGAATGTTTACCTTCTTATTCAATTTTAAACATAACT